TGTGTGGATGACTGAATGTGTAAAGTGCTTTTGGGTCCTAACGCGCTATACAAATACAGATACATATAAGAGGATCAAACTCAGCATGTTACTCCATATAACATGGTCTACATTTTCTCATGTTTACGGAAATTGCACATAATTTAAAAATTATTAAGTCAATCCAAAGAGATTCTTTCAAACTCACTTTTTCACAAATGACTGCAGGGCTGGGTGCTTGATCTTACACATCTGTGGCAATGGAGCTGAAAACAACTCAGTTCAGCTATCAAGAGATGCGTACCAGTATGCATCTGTTGTTCATATAGTGTGTAATCTATGGTTTCTTAATGATTCATTAGTCAGAGCATATCCATTCATCATGTTAAAAATGAAGCTGATTATTAGGCTGAGTTCACTCTACAGTACAAAAATAGTTGTCACTTATTTGTCAGTCACATACTTGCACAATCATGTTTTGATATTTTAATCCCTTAAACATGTTTTTATTCCCATAAACTGGAATAACCCTTGTACAGATCAGTCAGGGTCTTTCCTGTTCTATGAAAGCACTTGAAGCACTTAAGAGGAATTCAAATTTTCCCTCTTCACATTATTGTGTAAACAACATGCCACGAGAAACATTTCATAAAAATTTTTTATTGGACAACAAGCCTCCAGAGAAAGATGGGAACTTGTAATCACATGAAAGCCAAACCAGTCTGGCCTTTGTGTTGGATACTGGTAGATTTTCTTCCAGCTTTCTTCTCAATGTAGCCCTTACTCTACATTTATTCTTGATTTCATACCTAAGAGCTTCTAATGATTAGTGTGGCAGCAAATGCAGAATCCAATAGCTCATATATGAGCTTACTTGTTTTAGTGGTAGTGGTAGTGAGGATGATCGATGGTGCTGTTCTCTTTAAGCTTCAAGCATCTCCTCAGATGGTCCTTTGTGAGTGAGCTGGGGGACTTGGGACTAGCATAGTAGCGTTGCATGAATTCTACTGTATGTTCTCAGTCCTTGTACATGTATGTCTCATTCCAGTAGCCCAATACCTTGTCAAACAGGGCATTGTCTAAACCTGTATGGCTTTTACTTTTCAAATCTAAAACTCTAAATTCATCAAGTGGACTTGATTTTAGGTAGTGGCCTTCCATCAGGAGATATCTTACAGGTAATAAGAATGTGAAAAAATGTAAAAATTATGAGCTGCACTAAAACACTGGCTGGGACCCATAAAGACAGAAAGATATCAGATGATAGCTTATGGCTTTACAGATGACCTGAATGATAATTTGGTCTCAATTAATGCAAAGGTTAAACCATATAGTGCTAATTAAAACTGTAGTTAAAGAGCTTGAATTGACATTTGAATGTTACTGTAAATGCTAAGAATGTCACGGGCTGCGATGGCAGACCGTGGAGTTGCAGTGAAAGTAGGGCCCAAACACGAGACTCTTACTGAAGGAAAGTGGATTTATTGACAGGGGGTGGAAAACACACAACTATATACAAAATCCCGGCACTGTGGTCCCGTGGCGATTCTCCCTGAATCCCACACAGTGCAGATGTT